AAGTCATTGTTTTAACTTGTTTTGGGCTACCTTAGTTGTTCGGTCATTACATCATACATATAAATTTGCTATATGGAATAAAGTAGTAACAAAGCTGTACCTTAATGATATTTTTTATACTTATACCCAGTGCCGGATTAACACTTTTGCCGCCCATGGGCCAGAGGTCTGCCTGCCGCCCTAGCGGGGGTGCAACACCGGGGGGGGGGGGGGTCCGGCCCCCCCCCCCCGAAAAAAATTGAAATTTAGAGGCAAAATAACGCATTTTGGGACATTTTCCAGCGCTCAACTGTCTCTTGATATTGTAATGGTTTTAGTACCTCTCATGATGAAAACAAGAAACTATGTCCTAAAATTGCGTTTTATTAATTAAAATAAACTATTTGACAAAACTCCGTTAATTACGAAACCATTTTCTACAACCGTGATATTCCATTACTTAAGATTACAATAATAGTAAATAAAATCGTTGTTGATATTATTTTGTGAAACATCATGCAGCTCGTAATTCCCAAACTCAACAATTCTTTTATAGTTTTATGACTATTTTGGCTGAGAATGATTGATTTGGAGTGAAGTGAAAATTCGGCTTCGTTACTCGGCGACGGCTCACCTGTGAATGTGCCCGCAGGCTTTGAGCCATAATCGGTCATTGCTGTCGATTTATGGGCAAAAACAGGACAGTTAGGAAGGGGCTAAAATTAGTAAAAGGTGTACAGAGTAAGACTGCAAAATAAATGATAATTTCTGTATTGAATATAGGATAATAACAAATATATACAACATCGAAATATAACTGTTCAGAGCATACAAATCACATATCCAAACAAATAACTTACTCACTAAATTAGCTTTGTTAAAGTAAATATAACTTAAAACTTCTTCTTTCTTGCACGTGCATTGGAAAAATCATCAACAACTGCACTGAAATCGAGTTTTGTTGTCAGTTCATGTTCTATGGCTAAAACAGCCAGGCTGACGAGTCGTTCTTGAGTCACTGTTGAACGCAGATAGTTTTTTACTCTTTTCAAGGTCGAAAACGATCTCTCAGCAGAACAGTTTGTAGCAGGAGTTGTCAAAAACATTTTCAAACCAATAGCCACGTTGGGAAACAAGTCCTGTAGATTTTTTTCTATCAAAAATCTGTACAAGTTTGATAGTGAAAAGTCTTTTTCGGCTTCTTTGTAGTTTCCTCGGATCAGAAGTCCTTTCAGATGGATGCACTCGCATATAAACTCTGACTCTTCAATGTCTTCAATATAGATTTTCTGCAAAGACGTCGCGTTAGCAGTAATTTCTTCGGTAGTTAGAGTCTTTAATTTTGTTAGAAATGAAAACTTTGCAACGAAGTCTGTGTACACAGAGATCCTTTTGTCTAACTGAAACTGAAGTGTTTCCACGATGATGTCATAACTTTGTTGAAGACAATTTCCCCTAATGTCATCATCCTCATCATAAGTTCTTTCTTCATCTTCTTCTGAAGATTCATCAAAGAACCTCTTTCTTTTCGCCTTTCTTTTTGGGCGATCAAAATCTTGCTGCACCTGCGGCTGCGTCTCTTGTGGAAGTTCTGGCTCATCGTTCTGTCTCATTTCACCTTGCGCAATTTGCAGTTTTTTTTCGCCCTCTTTCTTATAGTGGGTAAACATGTCTTTCATGTTCATCACATACTCTGTGAGTGAGTTGTACAGGATTACAACGCTGTCCACGGTCATATTTTCAGCCTGGATCTTTTCACTGACTGAATTAAATTTTTGAAGTACATCTCCCCAAAGGGCTGCCATGAAACATGTTTCTAGAGACATTAGTTTTCGCAACAACCCTTTGGCTTTGGATTGTGTCTGTTTGTTTTCATGATTGCTTGAAGTCATGTCTATCAGCGTCTTGACCATGGGTTTGTAGTCTTTATTAAGGCTTTTGCAAGCTTCTTCCCTTGCAGACCATCTTGTAACACTGAGAGACTTCAACGACGTGTTCTTGTCCTTTCCTGTGGCCGTGAAATTTGACAGAAGAAGATTCCACCTGTGCGTAGAAGACGAGAAAAAATTGTACAATCCTTGCAAGAGATCAAAGAAATGTTTTGCAAGAGAACAGCATTCTGCTGCGCTTGATCCCACTAAATTTAGTGAATGCGCTGAACAAGGCACATAAAATATCAAGGGATTCTTTTCTTTAAGTCTTGCCTGCAACCCCGAGTACATTCCTGACATATTTGACGCGTTGTCATAGGACTGTCCCCTACAGTTTTGTATGTCCAATCCTTTCGACTGTAGGAAAGAAAGCACTGAGTTCACTAGTTCTTCACCTGTATGACCTTGATTTTTCATAAATTCAACAAAATGTTCTTCAGGGATTCCCAATTCATTCACATACCTTAATATGAAAGACAATTGATCAATGTGTGTTACATCAGGGGTGGAATCTACTATTATAGAATAGTACTTGCTTTTCTTAGCATCATTCAAAATTGTATCAATAACGGTTTTTGCCATTATTTCGATGAGTTCTTCACAAATGGTTGATGATAGGTATGACTGATTGCCTTTACCCGCTTTCCCATATTTTTCAATGTGTGCTTTCAAAAATGGATCAAATTCGGCAATCAGCTCCAAGCACATCATATAGTTGCCATTTGAAAAAGAACCAAATTTTTCGTCAGTCCCCCTAAAGGCAAGACCACGCGAGGCAAGTTTTTTTATTACGGCCACCACTCTCTGGAGAACTGCCTTCCAATACCTTATTTCTTCTTCCACTTGGTTTTGTAGAAGCTTATCGATCCTCCCGGCTGCTTCTGCTCTTTGTTTGTATACTATTACACTATTGTAGTGAACGTGCGAGTTTTCATGCTCTTTTATTCTCGCTGATGCATGTTTCCAATCACTGAACCCATTTTCAGTAAACTGAGTAGAGGTCGAACTAAACAATTTGCATGGACCACAGAACAAAGAGCCTAAACTTGGTGAGTAAATCAAGAAATCTCTATTTACAATTTCGCCATTTGCAAGTTTTCTGTCGAATAGCCATTTAGCCAACACTCTTTTCCTGTCTGGATATTGCCTTTCAGATTTTTTAAAATCGCAATCTTTATTTTGATTCCATCCATTTTTAACAAAATATTCCCGCGTCTCTTCATTCACTATCCATAAAGCAGGATCATAATTTGGTTTCAAATGGACAGAAGAGTCAGGTTCAGAGACTGTTAATTGATCTTCAATCTCGTCAACAACAAAAGTTAATTCGGATATAGCTGGTTTGATCTTGTCAGTATCAACACATGACGAAGCTGAAGGTGCTGATGCTGAAGGGGTTGAGGGTGAAGCTGAAGGGGTTGATGCTGAAGCTGAAGGGGTTGATGTTGAAACCGGAGGGGCTGATGCTGAAGCTAAAGGGGTTGATGTTGAAGCTGAAGGGGCTAATGCTGAAGCTGGAGGGGTTGATGTTAAAGCTGAAGGCACTGATGCTGAAGCTGTTGAAGCTGAAGGCGTTAATATGGAACATACTTCTAGTTCTACTTCACAAAATTCTTTGACACTTTCTAAAAGCACTGGTTCTGGTGGCACTGGTAGGTTACTTCTTGTAAAAAATGTATCAAGCTTCGCAGTTTTATTTACAACTTCTGTCAATTTTTTTTTTCTTCTCTTCGGCTACTTTTTTGTATTGCCACCCACTGAGCCGTTTGCGTCCATCCATTTGTACAGCTGCTTGTTATAGCATCAATGACATCGGAAGTAAAGGTCTGACTGTAAAAAAAAGAATATCTGTATAATTCAAAACTGTAGTACGATACGACAGGAAAAATGAAGCGAAAAAATGAGGGAAGCGAATTTCCTTCCATTACTTATTCAACTCATTGTGAAACCTATACGTATGGCAACATGCCGAATTACATTGCTTCTCTTACTACCACAAAGTAAAATGGCGAAATATGCAAAATTAAATAGCCACAAAATTTGACAACTTACGGCCTTACGGCCTACACAGCACAGCTCTCACCGTCTCACTACTCCTTACACCAGTGCTAACTGCTGCTGCATAAACTTATCTGAACCTTTAGATGTAAGATCTATATTAACTTACATTACCATTACTATAAACAAATAAATATTTCTTACCTCACAAGTTACAATTTCAAAATGTTACTCCGCTCAAAACAAATTACAAAAACGTTAAACCTAAACAGTTAGACAGACTGCAGTACGTGGAGTTGAGACCAGACAACCGAATGACAATGGCGCGTGGCGGTGATGGAGTTGGTGGGGGGAGGGAAGCGGCAAGGCGACAAGACGCCTGCCATCAGCCAATGCTAGCAACTACTACGATCCCACAACTAAATTTCCCGTGCGTAGCGTACGATACAGACTGCCGCCTCGCCCCTTCGACTCACTTGGATAGAGTGGCGTAGCGTAGTGTACTGCGACACATTACACCGCGCAGAGTGTCGCGTTATAAATAAATAATAAACAATAAAATAGTTTTTTAATATTTAATGCTCAGGTTCACTGGTCTTGATAATCGATAATAAAGCTTTATAATCAATCAAAAATAATTACACTTTTTTTTTCTCAAATCCGCCGCCCCAAAATTTTGCCGCCCTGGGCCGCGGCCCAGTTGGCCCGTGCCTTAATCCGGCCCTGCTTATACCAGAGAACTACGAACGCGTGTACGTAGTTCTCTGCTTATACTACTACAGGACATTGTATAAAATTACTGAATAGGTATTACTTGCGTTTGTAAAATATGTATGATGTTTGTATGAAAAGCTAATTAAAATATACTTTTATCTAATTACATAAGAGGTGAATAAATTTGAGATATTCTATCTGGGAGGTTTTATTTATTTTTGAATGAATCCATTTATACCCAATTCAATCTATAAATAATTATAATTTAAACCCTCTTATCTATTTTTAGGAACTTTTATTTTCTCTGTTGGAGACCTGTAAATTGACATTTATAGATACTTTTGATGTCTCCTTGTTGGCAGTTACATTTTCTAGAGTGCGAGTACAAATGAAGTTTGATAAATGTGTTATCAATTTTTACAAAAAGTATTAAATTAACGTTGTAAAGTTGTTTTCATTTATAATTTCATCGAGTAAATGTCAATTAAGATTCTACAATGATTGTGGAACAAATAGACGCATTCAAGACATGGTTAACAGCTGTTCTGAAGCCTATGTAAGATGACCCCCATTTTTGTATTTTTTTTTGTGATTGCAATACTAAATATAAATCTTTTAATATGTTCTTTAGCTAAACCGCTTGTATTCCCTGTTAATCGTTGTAATAGTTGTAATAGTTTTTTCTCATAAGTTAATAATGCTTGGGGTTAGGTACTAACAATATAAATAGCTATTTATATTGTTAGTACATAATCTAGTTAATTTTTTATTCCTGTTTACATTCATCATTTCAATATGATACAATCTTTTTAAATACATTTGAGAATGAGTTTTATTCTATTTTATGCTTTTGTATTATTTAGTTTATAAAATTCCAAATCAAAGCTTATTTTATGTCATAAAATATAATTATTATAGAGGTAGTGAAAATGTTGCATTAATTCAAGTATGTAATAGATAGGAAAAAAGTGGTGTATATATTTGCTAATTCTTCTGAATTAAACAATTTTACTCAGATAGTAAACACACCTATTTCTTGAGATTATTGATGATCTTTAATTTTGTTATCTAACAATATATTTTATATTCTTTCAGTACATACCTGATGGAACACCTTCCTTTTCAATATTGTCAATATTCTGTAGCTTTTTGATCAAGTTATTGTATTGATTTCAGTATAATACTTACTTATTTTTATTTCTGTATTTTGTATTTTTTGAGATTTTCTTTGTGTAGTCTTTTAATATATTTATCTTACTAGCCAAGACATCCACCTTGGGACATAGGGTTTCTCCACCCTCTATACCAAATTTCCCTATCTTTCTATATCTTGGGTATTTGCATTTGTTACACTACCATGTTGGTTTATATCAATCTGACTGTCTAAGACTAAACAGCATTCTTCTTTATCCTTTATAATTCCATGGTCTCTAATGTATAATTTTTGTTCCATCTATAGACCTCCTTTCTCAATGTATAACCAGTAATTGTACATTTAAATTTTGCTACTTCAGTTGAAACACCATTTGCTTTAGTTTTATTAAGAATACACCTATTGTGCTACTCCAAGACTGTGAGTTCTGGCTTACGAGCTCCATCATGCAGGACAAACTTAATGAGGAAGTTCTCATCCCCAACACAGAGCATCTCACTTAATAATCCCAAGCTAGTCTTCTCCTTCATATTTCCTTAGTCTGATTTTCCTCTGTTTTGTGCTTTAGCCTTTACTTGTTTGTTCTAATCTATTTTGTATTCTGTTATTCTTGGGTTTTCATTGTTTCAGTTTAATCACAGTTCACATTTAATTATACTTTTATTGATTTATAGTTAAACCTTCAATAATTTGTTGTAATTCTTGTTTTTACTAGATCTAAGTACTTATGGTACATGATGATAGAACAACTGGTAAACTCAGTTTGCTATTCCCAGTCCGAACTGTCTAGTGAATTTAGTAATTATTTTTTTGCGAAGTTAAGCTTTAAGAACTGGTACTTGGAATTTCGAAATATATGACCCAGATAAGCAGTTTTTTTTCTTTTTATTATTGGCAGCAATTCTCGTTCTCTATCCATCCGATTTAAGACATTTATTGTGTGATCTGTCCAGGGAATTTTAAGTAGCCTTCTAAATACCCACATTTCAAAGGCCTCCAATTGGTTCACCACATTGGCCTTTATGGTAGAGGTTTCTACACTATATAGTAGTATGGAGTAAATGTAACATTTTACGAAGCGATATCGAAGCATTCATTTGAGGCTGCTGTTGCTTAGCAATGTCCTCATATTAGTAAATGCTGTTCTGGCTAGCTCAACCCTGCTACATATCTCTATGTCTGGATCTAGATCTTCAGGTATCCAACTACCGAGACTTCTGAACTTGAGGACCTTTTGGATGTTGTTATTGTTTACTCTTATATTTAATTGCATATTTCGTGTTAGTGGCCAAAATAGATTAAATAGTTTAATAGGATAGAGTAGTATACAGCACAGCTCTTATTGCTAATCTTTGCCATTTACCCAACCAATTTTTGCAGATTGTTGTGTTTTATCCAACATGGAAGTTAATTTCTGCATGCTGTACTGGGAATTTATAACTACCTTACCAAAAAAACATTTTGTAGTTTAAAATAAGTTCATATAATCATAAATTTTAAGTTTAATCAGAAATGGAATGTTTAACAAAAGACTTCCTACTTACCATTTTATATTTTGTTTCAACAAACATTTCACAGCTGCCAATTTCTGTCCATTGCTACAGTTTTTTTTACCACACCTCCTCTCAGATATTTTTTCATCATCATCATCTTTGGCTCGACAATCCTCTGTGGATCTTGGCCTACTCTAAGATTCGTCGCCATTCTGTTCGGTTTCTGGCAACATGTTGCCATCTTCTGATTTTTAATATCCGTAAGTCGGTTTCAACTTCATCTAACCACCTAATTCGCGGTCAGCCTTTGCTTCTTCTTCCTACAGGTGTTCCTGTGGTTAACTTTTTAGCAATCGTATTTTCTGGCATTTGTATTATGTGTTCAGCCCATCTAAGTCGCTGTGTTTTAATGAAGGTTATGACATCGGGCTCATCAAAGAGCTGATACAATTCAAAATTATATCTTCTGCGCCACTGCCCTTGGTCGTTTGTAACGGATAAAAAAATATTTTGCGGAGTATTTTACGCTCAAATATTCCCAAAAGTCTTTCATCTTTCTGCATTAGAGTCCATGTTTCTGCACCATATGTGAGGACCGGCCTCAGCAATGTTTTGTATATAATAATTTTAGTTCTTCTTTGAATGTTTCTTGAGTGGAAATGCTTTTGGAGTCCATAGTATGCCCTATTTGTAAGATTTATTCGTCTTTTGATTTCTTCGCTTGTTTTATTGGTAGCAGTCAATAGCGACCCAAGGTATGTGAAGTTGTCACCACATCCAAAGGTATGCAGATATTTTTTACTGGTTCTTATTTTGGCTCAAACATTGTACATCTTCCTTTTAGCTTATGTAAGTTTTCTTCTATTTTTCTTTAATTTTTATTTTTTTCAATTTTCAGGTGTCAAGCAGATCCAGCTGCTCTGGCTAAATACATCATTGCATTGATAAAAAAGGACAAAACAGAAGATGAGCTCAGAAAGAGTATGATTGAACAGTTAGATGTCTTTCTTGAGGAAGGTAATTATTTAACTATATTATATAATATATATATTAATATATATATTAATATATATATATATATATATATATATATTAATATATATATATATATATATATATATATATATATATATATATATGTATTTAATTTTAGTATTAGTTTTTAAATCATATCTCAAAGAATTTAAACATTATTTTCTTTATAAGTCTAGCTGCTGCGCTGGCTTCGCAAAGGTGGTGTACCTAATGAACAAAAAAAATGAGACATAATCGTCTGATTAGGAAATCTACATATAGATTCTTTATTGTAATGCCTTATATTATACAAAATTTTCAGTTTTTTAAATATGGAGAGACCACAAATAGGGCAGATGGTTCGCAAATCTAGAACATGCTACATACAACTACCTGTGCGAAAAATATGGCAATTCCTTGAGATTCATTAATTGACATTACGAATGCTATTCACACCTTGAACTAGGTAAACTCAGTTTGCATTCATGGTATTCTTGGAATCCTTTAAACTTCCCTATGATTCTAGTAGCTCCAATCAAATTATTTATACATTTTTGAACAGTCAGTCTCCTGATTAAGAGATTTAGATTTCATATAATGATTATCACCAATTTACCCTTGAGCTGTAAATTGTATGGCAGTAATTCAGGTAAATCCAATGAATTTAGGAATTCAGTTGGATAAGTAATTGATGACATTTGGATCAGTGATGGATTCAATCAGCTTAAATGAAGATATAATAAATAAATTGAAAGATAAAACTGAATGTGGACTAGACAAGTTATCAGTTGATACTATTAAAGAGTTAAAGAGTGAGATATAAACTGTTTTAAGTACTCTATTAAATTTAACATTCACTACAGGAAGTGTTCCCAGACCAACATGACAAAAGTTGTTCTAGTATATAAAGGAGGTGACTCTTTAAACTCTAGTAATTATGGATCCATTTCACTCTTACTGGATGTATCCAAGATTCTGGAAACCTGGGTAAATAATCATGCACCATACACATAACAGCACAACAACAGCAACAGGTGATCTTATAACCAAATATTATTGATAAAGTTGTTAAAGGCCAATCTTGTATATTTGTATATCTTGACTAGAAGAAAGCCCTTGATACAGTTGGTCACAGACTGTTATTATCTGTATTAGAAACTTTAGATATAAGAGGTACAGTGTTGAAGTCATGCTGAAGTGTTTTAATGATTACCTATCAGAAAAAACACAACTTACCTTCGCTAACAGGGTGAATAGCCTAGTGTTCAATATTGAGTGTGCAGTTCCTAAAGGGCTGATACTTGATCCAACACTGTTCCTTATTTATGCTAATTCAATTTCAACATTGACATTAAGAGATACACTACAAATGTATGCCGATGATACCTGCATTGTAAAATATGATGTTGAATTTGACTTATGGATGGCGAAGGGATGGATAGATCATTATATTTGATAAATCGATTATTATCAATATGGTGATAACAAGGAGAGCAGAGTGACAACAATTAACGATAGTACTTGAATCAAGGCCTTTGCAAAAATAGGAATGAATTCAATATCTGAGACTGTACATTGACCATAGACTTACTTTTGAGTATCACATTCAACACTTGAAAAAAATCTCACCTGCAATAGAGGTTCTTGGAAACTTGTTATTAACTAATAGAAATTAAATATAGGAAAAATATATATTACAATTTAATAAATAGCCTTTGTGCCCTTTGTGTACTTCAAAATACAGCTTTAAAAAAATATTTATCCCACCAAGACTCTTCCCAAGAAAAAAATTATATCTACCTAATGAGATTATGGATGTACAATCAATGTATATATATATATATATATATATATATTGGATTTGAAGTTTCCGCGGGAGCTATATGTGATTTCAGTTGTTTTCCGGGTTTGACTCTGCGTTAAGTAATTTTGGTTTTTAGGAAAACCATTGTTTTGACGACGTTTCGGCAAGGTCACACTTACCATTGTCAAGTCAGATTAGTTCTGCTTCGTCTTGATGTTTCAGGAGAACTGATTTACCAGATTTAAATCCAGATTTAAATAGAATATGGATTTCGAAAAGGTTTTGTGATATAGCCTGATTGGATTTTTTAAATTATATACCTTTTATAAAGGATTTTTAATAAAATTTTTTTGATATATGATATACAGCCAACTACAGGAACTTAGATTCCTTGTGCATTTTATAACCCTCTCACACTTTTTTACATTTGTTTCTTTTGTTTCCTTTGTGTATAAATAAGTTCTCTTTCTGTTCAATAAATATCAATAATGATATCTGTAGGTCATATACAAAGTCATATGAAAGATTCAAGATGGCCGCTGTCGAAGACGTACGGCCAATTGATGGTGAAAACTTGGAAATAAATTTTAAATGCTGCACTAAAAAAGAGTGTAAAATAGTTGTGTGTAAATATTGTTATAGTGTTTTTCACTCTAGCTGTGCAAAAAGATGTGGATTTGAAACATGTGAGAGAAATATCATAATATGCTGTGACAAAAAAGGCGGTGATACCGAAACAAACGAGATGTCAACTACAGAAGAATTATCCAAACTGAGATTAGAAAATGACCTCTTAAAAAGACTAATTATGGAAATGGAAGACAAAAATGTTGTATTAAAAGAAAACAATAATTTATTGCGCCAAAAAGTAAGTTATCTAGAACAAAAAACCGCAAAAAAAAACTGAATACGAAAGTGTAAATAAACAAGATCAGATAATGGATCACTCTGTTGATAAAAAATTCTCAAGGTCAGTACCACCTCGTACACAAAATAGATCATTCACAGAAGTAGTAGCTCAAACGTCAAAAAGTTTAAGTAGTTCCTCTGAACAGAAGACAAGTGACAACATTAATGTCAACCTCAAAAATAAACAAACAACTGAGGTTAATGAGCAAATAAAAAAACATAAAATAACTGAGGAAAACAGCGATAGTGACTCAGATGGGTTCCAAAAAGTTATACACAGGAGACATCGGTACATAACTAAAAAAAATATAGGAACGGCAGTAAGCGATGACGATAGCACAAGTGGTTTTGCAGGGGAAAAGAAAAAAGTGTGGCTATACTTGTATAGAGTGAAGAGAACAACAAAACAAGAGGAGATATGTAAATTTCTAATAGAAAAGAGGAAAATGCAACAAGAGTCTATTATGGTAAAGGAATTGCCAAGTCAAGAAAATGTGTTGAAGAGATTTGTTGTATCCGCACCCTTTGAATATAAGGATGACATGTATAAACCAGAGTTTTGGCCTAATGGTGTTGGCATAAAAAGGTTCCAGATGCATCGTCATAAGGATTTTCTAGATAACAGAGGTGGAAATTTTTCATAGGAGAAAATAGAGAGCACAAGACACATCAACACAAGGAAATTGAAATACAAAACACAGTCACACGAGCAAAGAATATAAGTATCATCCACCAGAACCTCCAATCCATAGGAAATTGTATTGATGAAATAGAAGAACTTCTAACAAACAACAGTGACTGTAAAATATTGTGCACAACAGAACATTGGAAAACTAAAGAAGAATTAAGTGAATATGGAATTAACAATTTTGTGCTGACAGCTAGTTATTGTAGAAATAATGTGAATGAACATGGAGGAACAGCTATATATCTTAGTAAAGACATCATTGGCCAGGAAAGAAAGGATATACAAGAGTTATCAGTAGATAGGGTAATAGAGTGTGCTGTATGCGAAGCTAATATAGGTAATAACAAACTCATTATAGCATCAGTTTACAGACCATCAGGTAGCGATCTGGCAGTTTTTTTAAACAAATTTGATATTATACTGGGAAGAATTGAAGGGGTGAGTGGATGAAGGGAGTAAGTAACAAAAGTAAGTTTTTGAGAAATTTAACTCCAAAGTTTTATTGCTGGAACTTTTTTATTAATAGATTTTTTAAACCGTTTTTTTTTTATTCTCACAGGTAGGATATGTATAAATTTTATTGTAAAAACAAAAATCTCCCCGATTTTTAAAAACTTATTTGAAAAATATATATTTGTACTTACCTCTTTTATCCAAAAACTTTTTTGTGTTAGAAATTATGTCTATGCCAAAATGAAGGGGGTATGTGGACTTACCTCCTTCATCTAGGATAAATATTTGCTTTTTCTTTTGAATAAGCGCTATAATCAGAAAAAAAATAACATGGATGTCAAGTAAACACTTATATTTTTGATTTTACAAAGGGGTGACAAACACTGAATTTCTAAGCATCTTTTGAATCAGTCTAAGGATATTGTATCACCTTCTTAAAATTGTCGTTGCTCTATGATGGCTTCATAATACCACTTATCTTTTTCTGGAATGAAGCAAAGCTGTTCTTTTAGATTGTCTAACTTTTCGTTGCTTAAGGATCCAGTATATTGGATATGTCTTGGAATGTTGAATTCTTCAGGTAGAAGGGATGGGAAATTTTTCTGCTTGAGGATACATACCATTTTGAAAGGTGTGTAATAATCGTAGGACTCCTTGAAAAGGTATGATCCAAAGACATCTACGCGAATCCACTTGATTCCAGTTTTGAAATTAACCTTTTCATTAAGAAGATCTTTTTTTCTATTCATTAGTTTCATATTTTTCATAATATTTTCGGTGTGTCTAAAGTGATGTTGCATGTCTATCACCATATTTTTCTTGGTTGAAAAAATAATCACATCACGATATTCATCAGGAATATAAATGTTTTGATGTTTCTTTAGCTGTTTCTCAATACGTCCAAATGCTCTATCCGAGTCTAAGTATGAGTGTCCTACCTCTGGAAACTTGTGCTCAATCGTTTTAAAAATGCCTTTGCCCACAAGATACTGAAACAAACATACCATCAAAAAATTTTTATTTTGCCCAGCACACGAGTCCGTCCACAAAATAAGATGATCTTTTCCTTTGAAGGCTGGATCCACTTCGATTGTTCGTAGAAAACAACTAAAAATTTCCGAGCTACCTCTGGAAGCTTGATTTTCCGTC